ATACTTTCTGACCTTCATCGATGACAAGTCCAGGCGCATATTTGTTTATTTTCTGCGGAAGAAAGATGAAGTGTTCAGTAAGTTCGTCGAATTTAAAAACTTGGTTGAACGGCAAACAGATAAAAAGCTCAAATGTATTCGAACCGACAATGGAGGCGAGTTTGTAAACACAACATTCAACGGTTTCCTGAAACACCATGGTATTGCAAGGCAATTGACCGTGCCTTATACTCCGCAGCAGAACGGCGTGCCGGAAAGGGCAAACCGGACATTAACGGTGCACTCGGGACTAGGCGAGTCCTTGTGGGCGGAGCAGTTAACACAACAGTATACATAAGAAACAGATCACCTACCAGTGCTCTGAACAACCTGACTCCAATGGAAGCGTGGACAGGTAAGAAACCCTGTGTTAGCCATCTAAAAGTTTTTGTTCCGTTGCAGTTGCACTTGCAAAGGGTCCCCGTAAAGGCAAATTCAAACCCAAAGGGAGACAATCTATTTGATGAGCGTTGTGGTGATCAGACTAATGAAGATACCGTTACGGTAGATTTTCCTGCATGCGAGGTTCAAGAGCATGTCACTCACACGATTGGTGACAGAAGCATCGACGACGATGACAGTGAGCACAGTTCTGACGGCAGCAGCTCCAACACATATGAGAGTGTAGTCGAAAAAGAAGACTCTGACGAGGATAATGTGATGCAAAAGGAATATCAGGCACTACAATAAAACGAAACCTGGCAGATGGCTGATTTACCAAAAGATCAGCGTGCAGTTGGTTGCAAGTGTGTATACAGCCTGAAACCTGACTCTCGAACGTTTCAAGGCACGATTCGTTACTAAAGGGTGTTCCCAGAAGTATGGCGTGAACTATGCAGAGACGTTCTCACCCGTTTGCAGATTGGAAACCGTGCGGTTTATTTTGGCGTTAGCAGCGGAATTGAAGCTGTACCTTCACCGGATAGATGTGTGTACCGCATATTTGAATAGCGAGTTGCATGAAACTGTTTATTCGAAGCAGCCACAGGGATACACAGATCCCAATAATCCAAGCAAGGCTTTATTGCTTAAAAAGGCAATATATGGATTGAAGCATTCGGGGCGCGAGTGGAACTCCAAGCTCGATTGTGTACTACAAGGCATCGGTTTTGTAGCATGCGACAATGAACCGTGTCTTTACAAAAGGAACGGAGGAGGTGACTTATCATTAATCCTTGTTTATGTTGATGATATAATTATAGCATACCGATCAAAAGAGGATTTGGCCAACATCAAGTCAGCCATTACAACATCGTTTGAATGTGTTGACAAGGGAGAGCTGCATTTGTTCCTTGGCATGGAAGCGCGACGGTGAGCTTGGCGAAATTTCGCTAAGCAATTCGCAATACATCAAAGACATATAGCGTGAACATGGATGCGAGACCTGTAGACCTACAGCTACACCACTGGATGCTGGTTTCCAAGTGATGTGTACCAGCGAGCATTGTCAAAAGGTTGACATTGCATTCTAGCAGTCTTCAATTGGCGAGTTAATGTGACTGGCGCTTACAACAAGGCCAGACATATTGCATTTCGTTGCCAAGTTAGCTCAATGGAATCAAGATCCGCATGCAGAGCACCTAGTGGGTGTAAAACATGTGCTTCGATATCTGGCGTCAACTGTGGACCTGAAGTTGCACTACAAAGAATGTGGACAACCCCTTACCGGTTATATGGATGCAGATTGGGGTGGCGAGCGCATCGATCGCAAGTCGTATACTGGCTATGTATACTACTTGGCTGGAGGACCGATTTCCTGGCGATCTGAGAAGCAGCGCAGCGTGGCACTTACCAGCACGGAGGCGGAGTATATGGCTCTTTCAACTGCGTGTAAGGAGGCACATACCTGCGGCGTCTTATAGTGGAGATTGGCTGCGGTGACTCGAATACTCCAACTGTTCTTCATGTGCTCAACAATTAGCCTAGAATCCTGTACACCATGAAAGAACAAAGCATATTGATATTAGATATCATTTTGCAAGACAGGTTGTAAAAGAAGAACAAATTGTTTTACAGTATACATCAACCAATAAAATGTTAGATGATATTTTAACGAAAAATCTTCCTAAAGCGAAGCATGTTCTGTTTACAAAGCTGTTAAATTTAATTTGAAAATTTTTGTAAAACATATTTGCATTGAGGAAGGGTGTTAAAAATCAATACAAACATAAGTACCAATGCACGCATGTTAATATAAGCAGATAATAATCTTATGTTATCTACAAGTAATCTGTCACTGTTGCATACGAATGTAAGCATAAAGAACATGTGTAGCAAAAGTGTCAGTCTCCAATAAAACTCTAAAGCGAACAGACGCACGGCGGTCCGCGACTATTGTTTTTACTTTACTCCCAATGAACTCTTCCTTTTGCAGCGAATAAATAATCTATTCAATAGTGTTGAATGGGATGAATTAATTAGGGACGATTGCTATGAAATTTGCAAAAGTGTATGCACTAATATAGGATAGATCAGTAATTTAAAGTTCCGCGTCAAATAACAAGTTTAATGTGACATTCAATTGCATATTTTCTGTGACGCCTCAAAATCTGCATATGCCGCCTGGGCTTATTTACGTTTTATGCTAAACAACTATAATGTTCATTGAAACCAATGTCCATACCTCTTCTGGAGCTGCAAGGAGCTCGTTTCATTAAAGGACATGTTAGATCTCAATATTAAGAAAATTTATATTAGGACTGATTTAAAATTTAAATGAAATGGCTAATGGTTGTTCCAACAGGACGTCAACCCAAAACGTACGGATTACGTTGCCAGGGTTTGGTTGCTCTACAATGCACCACGTCAGATTATTCCACCGTAAAGCCCGGATTTGAACAATATTGAACACACATGGGAGCTTTTAGACTGGAAGCTGAGGAAATATGACGTTACCAGTGCGCCAAGCCTAAAGAAAGGGCTTCAGTCTACTTGGTAGGATGTAACACCTGTAGAACTGTGAAATCTGGTGGAGTCAATGCCGAGGCATCTTCAGACCGCCATTGAAGCACGTGGAGGTCCTACCAAATAATAAAATAAATATTATGCGGGGGTCAAGTTCTTTAAATCTCCGAATTTTTACGAATTTTTACGAATTCTCACGAATTTTTACGTTGTACGTACACTTTTGACAAGGAAAAAATATGGTTTTTCGTTTATATCTTTGTAACGACACATCATAAGCTAATAATTTTTCGTTTTCTTCCATAAGAATAGATAAGCTACGAAACTGCATCATTAGTTTTTTAATAAATATCTTTGGTTCGGCCAGGTAGCAAAATATTGGATCGTATGTAGACTTTTGGCGCCCACTGTATATCTCGGAGATTATGAGACCTAGGGACACCAAATTATAGTCCCAGATGCATTATGTGAATACGCAGAAAATGTGTTTTTTTTTGGAATTTGCCTCCCTATCCCCCGCAATCCATAACTCCCTTAATTCTTGGAATTTTTCATTTAACTTCCAAAAATACCTCCCGTTAGTGATTATGTCGAGTTTTGTAATGATAGGCCGATTTAACAGGAAGTTATAGCCATATATGTATATATGACTAAGCAGTGACCGCAGCTGTTGTTGTTGTTACTGCTTTGCACAGGTACACAGACCCACACAAACACACACATGCAAGCAAAGATACGCATAATTATACTACACATATGTATGTACAGAGTATTTCAAAGTCGGGATACCCGACTTTAGCTTCTCTACTTGTTTTATTATGAATGCGGCTCAAAGGACCATAAATGTTGTTGCGTACCTGTAATTTTATTATGAATCCGGCTCGATCGACCAAATCTCGCTCTCATTATCCACAATATACCTCGGTACGCACATTTCATTAAAAACTTTATTTATTTGAGCTTAAGATATTTATACTTTATTGTTTTGTATTCTTTCAGTTTATTTTTATAGCCTGTACCCAAAGGCTATACTAGTTTTGTGCGCATGTATGTAACACACAGAAGTAGGCGTGGCAGACCCCACAAAGTATATATATTCTTGATCAGGATGAGAAGACGAGTCGATATAGCCATGTCCGTCTGTCCGTCTGACCGTCTGTCTGTATGAGCGCAAGGATCTCAGTAAGTACAAGAGCTAGGATAACCAAAATTGGTATCAAGGTTCCTATAAGCCCTAGGCAGAACGAGTTTGTTTATTTTTTCTGATACACCCCCCCACTCCCCCGCAATTCGTATTTTTTCTTATAACTTCCGTAATTCTCGGAATTTAAAAATCAATTTTGGTAGGTACATCCAGTTAGTACTAATGTGTCCGTGTGCCAAATTTCATCATGATAGGTCAATTCTGAAGAAAGTTATAGCCATAAGTAAAATCGCTACTCATGCGCTGCCTGCAGCTCTGTCGGCAGCGCTGCCCGCAGCTGTTGTTGTTGTTGCTGCTTTTGTTCAACTTTGTGCTGCATACATACACGCATATAAACACGCATAGGTACGTGATGTAAATGTATGCTGTTTAAACTGAACATAAACATGTATTCTAATTTAATTTAATGAATTATTTTAATTAATTAATTAATTCATTTTTTTTAATAATTTAATTTTTAAAAAATTTTTTTGTTTTTTTAGATTTTTCCTTTTTGTGGAGAGTACAGGCTATTTTACTGTCGGGCTTGCTCGACTGTAGCGTTCTATCATTTCATACTTTTCGTAATTATTGGGTGCCTTGTATATACATGTGCATTGCTTGCTGTTTCTCACGATACTGACTCTTATGCTATTCAAGTCCTGCCAACTGCAGTGCCTTGATAATTTAAAAAAAATGACAACTTATTAGAAATGATAGTATAAATTTAGGCTAAGTTAACAACACAAACTTTGCAGCTCGATTTCGCCCCTTTGGGGGAAATACAAACTTTGGAGTCTTTACAGTTAGTACTTATCTAAGGCCATTTCCTATTATTTAATTTGTTTCTCATTAAAAACCAAACATTTTTCAGGTCAAATAGCGAAAATGGTTAAACCAGTGCAAGTTAAACAGGATGCAGCGGGTGAAATCAAGAAATTCATTAGTAGTGGTGGTGACATCAGCTCTGTTGGACGCATTGGGGCTTTTCATCTGGTAAGCCTCAATTAGCTTCATTGCGAAAGCCTTGTATCCTTCACCATTTCATTTTAGAGTACATCGAACCAGGGACAATTTATACGCCTACAAGACAATTATATTACTCAAAAAACCGAAGGTAAGCGTATTGATAAGAAATGATAATACAAGGTGTGTTCCAAAGTAAACAGGACTTCTAAAAAAAGCAACAAATGGTTTTTTCGGCAAAATCAATTTATTTTATTCAAAATAGTCTCCTTCTGCTTCAATACAGCTTTTTGCACGATCCAAAAGCATGTCCAGTGTTTTAGCTCGTTGGCCGGTATGGCCGCCTGTATTCCGGTGCAAGCCTTTTGAATGGCCTCTACGTCTGCATAACGCTTTCCTTTCATGGGCAAATGCATTTTTCCGAAAAGGTTGAAGTTGCTCGGTGCCATATCAGGTGAATACGGCGAGTGGTTAATGGTTAAAATGTGATTTTTGGTCAAATAATCGGTCAAAAGCGTCGATCGTCTTAGCGATTTTTGGTCGTCAGTCAATTTGTGCGGAACAAACCGTGCCTAAATGTTCGGTCAAAATACGATGAATCGATGTTTTGGAGATGTTCAATTCCAATTTCAATTTCAATGATGATTTCGGCTGATTTTTGATGAATTCACGCACAGTTTCATACGACAACATTGAAGAATATACAATTGACGGATACAAATTTCCAATACATGGCGCCACTAGGAGCCGCGCTATTTAAAAAGTCCTGGAACTTTCGAATTGCACCTTGTATAAGAGAGAGACACCAAATTTTGCACAAAGATGCCTTATGTGTGTACGCAGTGCAAGTTTGTTTTATTTTTTTGATTTTCCCTCCCCACTTCCCCCCTATGGGGGTTTTCCCGATTTTCCATTCGTATAATCGCCTATATCTCGGAGACTATAAGACGTACGGACACGAAATTTTAGTCCCAGATGCCTTATGTGAATACGCAGAAAATGTATATTTTGGAATTTCCCCCCCTCCCCCCTCTACCTCGTAACTCCCGTAATTCTTGGAATTTCGAACTAAAATTCTGGAAATACCCCCAGTTGGTTATTATGTGTCCGTATGCCAAGTTTCACTATGATAGACCGATTTAACGAGAAAATATAGCCATAAATATATTTGCTGCTGCAGCGCTGCTCAAGCGCTGCCCGCGGCTGTTGTTGATGTTGCTGTTTGGTTGACTGCGAAAATGCTTACACAGACACGAATAGATGCGCATAGGCATACATACACTCACACAGACGCAATTGCTATGTAAATGTGCAATTATAAACCTTTTACGTGAGTTCGAATACCGAGAGAGGTAAAATCGATCAAATTTTTTTTTTTTTATTTTCTTAACTTTTTTTATGTTCTATAATTATTGTAAACATATGTACAGAGTATTTCAAAATCGGGACACCCGACTTTAGCTTTTTTATTTGTTCAAAATGGCTATCCGATATAGCCAGAGTGGTCAGCCGTTTGCCAGCCATTACCGAGACATTTATAAAACAGCCGACTTTAACAAAACCTAAGCCCATGCTTCATTCAAATATAATTACTAATATTTTATTATGTCCTTTATGTAATGATAAGCACGCCCTGAGCCAATGTAAAGTATGGATCGAGAGTATGGATGTGTCGGCCCGTTGGAACGTTGTAAAGGCCCACCGACTTTGTTTTGCTTGTCTTACTAAAGGTCACAACATGCGGAACTGTGAACAGAAAGTTAAATGCGGAATTGGAAATTGTACTCGCGTGCACCATCAAACGCTTCATCAAGTATCAGCCAATGGTCAGATTGCCAATTCCAATAACGAGAGACAAGAATCAGAAAGGCCAAGACCAATTATGACATTGATGCCAAATAATGTCTATAGTAATCAGTTGTTCAAGATATTGCCAGTTGTTTTGTGTGGTCCAAATGGAAAGTATGCTATGTTTGACGAAGGTAGTGCCATAACTATGATCGAAAGTAATATTGCGTCTAAACTTGGTTTAAAGGGTCTTAAAAAACCTTTGTCCTTACAATGGTACAATAATAGAATAGTCACCGAAGGGTCCAAGCATGTCTGCCTTGAAATTGCTGACAGTAATAATGGCTGTCGATTTGATCTAAAGTGTGTTCAGACAGTCAATGAATTACATTTGCCAGTCCAATCATTTTCTAAAGATAATTTCCATCACCTTCGTAATTTACCTATAGCGGACTATAAAGATGCCAAACCTCTTTTGGCAATTGGGATTATCGAGAACTATAATTGAAAATGGAAAAGTCGATCCAGTCGCCATTAAGACAAAGCTCGGGTGGTTGGCGTATGGACCAACAACACTGCATGGAAAAACTAACACAATAGTGACGTATATCAAAGCCGTAGAAGAAGATGAATTGCAAAGTTTAGTAAAGGAATATTTTTCATCCGATCATTTTGGTATTAACAATTTACCACCAATTGAGAGTGTAGACAATAATAGAGCCAGAAACATTTTATTACAAACAACGACCCGGATTGGATTATTTACCTCATTTTGCTGTACAGACTGTCCATAAACCTTGCTAGCTCATCGCCTTTTTTGACGCGTAGGTTACAGACGGCTGCATATCCGTATTCACTTGCATCCACGAAGATGTAGTACGACACAATCGGCTGTACGAAGAATCCGAGAGTATTGACGGGGGATCTTGACCGTCGCGGCTTGTGCTTGTAAGTTTTTTCATTTATCCCAGAACTTGTGGAGTGTTTCCGGCAAGCTGTCATCCCAGCCAATTCCGAAGCGCCAGACCTTCTGCAGTAGCATCTTCAGACCAATTGTGTAGCACGAGAGTAGGCCTAATGAATCGAAGATCGACATTAAAATTTGTAGCGCCTCTCGCTTTGTCGGAATTGTTTCTTTAGTAAGAACATTTCGTCTCAATCTCGAAAATCTGAAAATATATTTGAACACGTCAGCTGATGGGTCCCAATACATACCGAGAACTTTTTGGCGGTACTCCTCTGCATTTTTGTCGCGCACATAATGTGCAATGCATGGCGCGCAGCATATTCCAAATGTCATTGCTCGCATGACGAAGACTCTTGTAGCTTTGTCTTTGCTGAACCATAGGAAGCATTGAGCGTGCATATCAGATTCCTGGATGTTGATCTGATGGAACATCTCAGCAATGTCGAAACATATTGCGACGTTACCAACCCGAAACGCCGAAATGACATCCGTTAGTGGGTTCAGAAGGTCGGGCCCATTATACATAAAATAATTAAGTGATCTTCCGTGAGATCGGGCGGCGGCATCCCACACTAGTCTTACTTTCTGTGGCTTATTAGGATTTCGGGTGATAAATATTGGAAGATACCATGTGCGATCATTTCCTTTCATTATTTCGTCGTCAGTCAGTTCAATGGGGTATCTCTTTTCTAACAAATTGCTGATTTGCTTTTCATTTGCTTCGTACAATTCCGGATCCAGACAATTCGATCGCTTTTGTGCCGTACTAAAACTTTCAGGCAATACTGGATTCTGATGACGCCAAAGCAGTCCCACTTGGAAGCGTCCTTCGCGCTTGATACACTTATCCTGTAGGACTTTAAGAGCAGTTTCGTCGTCGACAGAACGGATCTTTCTTGGTGCGACTGGGTCTACGCTGAAGCACTCCTTTATCGTTCTGTCAATTTCATCCCAGTTGCACTGACAATGATGCATTGAGTTGTAGTTGTGTGGCTTTGACATACCTTGCAGTTCCCAGCCCAGCATACATTTGGAGGCAATAGGGTCTTTCCATTTGCCCTCTCTGAGCTTCGGTGGCACTGCCAATTTCCAGTTGTCTGTGCCGATCAATACCATGGGTATGGCGTCCTGGTATGATTTTAAAGGTATACCGTCCAGGTGGTTATATTTTGTTTTCAAATAATTGACATCCACAGTCTGCTTCGGTAGAGCCAGGTTTTTAACTGTGTGCACATTATTCAACCAATACGTTTTATTGGTCTCTGCTGCTGAGATTCGTATGTTGGCTCGCACGGATTCTCCTTCCATCCTAGTGGTTTGGCCTGTCCACTGCAGACATATAGGATCTGGTGAACCACGCTGTCCCAAACGTTTAAAAATGGATTCATCGATGAGAGAGACTGAGGAGCCTTCGTCCAGAAATGAAAAGGTTTCCAAAGTTACCGCCTCATAGTGTAGCATAACTGGCAGGATGCGAAAAAATTGATCCGCGTTTGATTTGGATTGGTGCGAAGTGACGACATTACTGGTTTGACTGCCTTTATGGAGTAACGGATGATGTCTTGATTCACAGCCAGCTATTCCGCATACCTTCTATGAGATGCACCTACGGGAGTGGCATTTTAGACATTTGTAGCATAGTCCTTTTTCGCGAACTACACGTTCTTTCTCTTCGCCAGTGAGATTTTTAAACATTTCGCACTGAGTCACCTGATGATGTGTTGCGTTACAAGCTGCACATTTGTTATTGTTCTCAGCTGGGGGATCATTGTCACGTCTCACATTGGCTCGTTCTGGAGATTGCATTCATTGGCCCAAATGTGTGTGTACGGTACTTCGTTTTGTAGATGATATTGAAATCACTGTTGATGCTGCCTCGGCGATCCTATATAGCCAGTCGCTAAAGGCCTTTACAGTTGGCACGTATGTTTCTTTTGGCATAGCCCAGTTCAACTTATATTGGTTCGGAAGTTTGGTCACCAGCTCCTTTACAAGCATTGGATTATTTAAGTGCGCGTCTAAGCTGTCTTTGTTTATGTATATATTTTTTGCCTTTTCAATCATGCGTTCAATAATTTGTTCCGGGCGTCCGAAGAATGTTTTTAATGTGCCTATAACCTCAGGCACCATTGACGGTAAAAGAAGTTTTTCTCTCACCAGTTCGTACGCCTTCCCTTTGAGGCATATTTGTATTCGAAACATGTTTTCAATATTTGAGAACCCGGCAGCAGCGCTGCTGTTCTGCTGAAGGTTGGCAAATCCGCTGGTAATACTTGGCGCGCCGCCAACTGTGCGCTAGTAGGACCCACATATATGGACATTACAAGCGAACTCGCTCCACTCTGTTGTGCAAGTATATTGTATTTTTGTTCGATATACTTTTGTTCAGCTTCTCG